TTTTTGTTTTAGTATTTTGAAGTTGACCAATTGTTACTATAAGCAATTAATGATTATAGATGATCTGCACCGTATGAGAATCCCCTGGTTGATAAAAGATCTGCGAATTAATAAAGCTGATTATTTTTAAGCACTATCAGCTTCCCAAAAAGTTATGCAATCAAAAAATTTAATCTGTGGGATCAAAAGTGAATCATTTAAATTATTATTTGCACAGTTTATTTTTTAAATATTTTCAAAATTAGTAGACTAGTTACAGCTAGAAGTCATATGAAAATTTTGGATGAGTATAGGTGGTATGCACCATATTCAACAAGAAGGATTACATAAAATTTAGTCAGTCCAGAAATTTCAGAATATTTATTACTTATAAACAAGAAAATACCATTTATGGTATATATGTGGTAGAAATAGATTGATCACTTGACTAAATCAGGCAAGCTTTTTGATGCAATTAATAAATAATTGTCAGTCACAATCAAAAGTTGAAATTTTGGAATTGAGTCAAATCCAAATTGATTTTGACAACATGTATAGTCCAAATTCTCAAAAATGGGATTAGATTTAGATGTACACTATATTAAATTTGTATATAATTAATAATTTATTTCTTTTGAAAAAATAAATTTTAATATGTGTATATTAATTATGATTTTATAATTTGCTTTTTAATAATTTATTTTTTTCAATAATTTCCAGTGCTATTAAACTTATAGGTTTAAACATTCTAGCATAATTTTGTGCTTCACTAGAACTAGCTTGTTTATGTGCAATACGTGCAGCAATACCTTGTGTGATTACTGCCAACTTTGAAAATAAACAAATTTAGAATATAAATATAAATATGTAAATATTAGAAAAATAAAAACCTAACTTACTCTAAAAAATGAAAACACTATGGCATACTCAAAGTTTGGTATTGGAAATTTTCTTTTTGTTTTAATACAATATTCATATATTAATTCATCTGCTGAAGGGATAAGTAAATTAGGTGCATCCTTTAATCCAATTAAAGGTTTTACAGCATTTTCAGATGCATAAAACTGCATCAATAAATTTGCTAAGTCTGATAATGGGTGACCAATTGTAGAAAGTTCCCAATCTAATATTCCAATAACACGTGATTCTGTTGGATGAAAAACCTATATCATATAAAATCAAGTGAATCAAATTCATATATAATATATATATATACATATAAGATATAATTTTGTAAAATTACAATATTATCCATCTTAAAAAATAAAAATAAAAATAAAAATGTTAATATGATGATTAAATAATATATTTAATTGCTTATTTGATAATTTGTACCTTAAAGTCACCATGTAAAATTGTTGCTTCATCAGGAATTTCATTATTTTTAAACCACTTGATCATTTCATCAAGTCCTGGAAGAGCACCCACTTCATTTCCATCTTCATCTACCACAGCAGCTTGAGCTTTTGATACTTTGAGTAGTGAACGAACTTGTCTAGAATAAATTCAGATGACTTTCCATAATCATCTAGTCCTATTGCTTTATAATCAACTGAATGTAATTTAGCAAGTGTGTTGACCAAAGAAAACCAACTATAAATAAAAAAATAAATATTTGGAGTTTTTTGAACTATAAATAGTAATGATAATATAAAATAAACAAAAAAAAATTTTACCAATTCTTTCTTTCATTTGGAGAAAGTGATAAAAGTCTTACATCCTCAAAAATCCTACCATTTAAAAATTCCATTACCTATCAATTATTAATATACATGTATAAGCAATTTATTAAATTAATTTATCGAATATAAAAAAATATTATTACATAGAATGGTGTCCCAATTATTTCATTATCTTTGCAAAGAAGATAAACCTTAGGCACTGGTACATCGGTATACTTTCCTAAAGCATCAAGAATATGAAACTCACGTTCAACAGCATGTGCAGTAGTTGATAATAGTTTTCCTGGTGGTTTTTTTCGTAGTACATATCGTTTTTGACTAAATATTTCATATTCATTATTAATATATACTATTTGTTACAAAAAAAAAATCACTTGTTATAAGCACACACACACATATATAATATCATATAATCTTACTTTGCATCAATTAGGAGATATGTGGGGTTGCTTTGACCAAATTTGAATTGTTGGGTTTCTATTGGTAACTTAATTTCAGGAATTCTTGAAGCTAAATAAGATGTCAAATTGGGAATATCTATTTCTTGTCTATATTGTTTAGATACAATTTGAAGAATTAACAAACAAACAAATAACATACATGTTATTAAATTATTGTTTAAAGTCACCTGATTATAGTTGTTGCTTGGGCATTATTTAGTTTTGACATTTTTATCTGATATGATCATTGAAAAAAAAATGATTTTTTAATCAGAAATAAAAAAAAATTATTTTTTACTCAATGTCAAATGCAAAAGGAATGGCAAGAAATACCTACAAGATTAATAATGAGATTGCCAAATTCAATAAAGGGAAGCAATAAATTTGATAAATTAATAGAAAAAGAAAAAAAGAATCAAATTATGAAAAATTGGGAAGAAAAAGTAAAAAAAGTGAAGACAAACAAAAAATCAATAAAAATAAAATCATATATTTATTAATAATAATTTTACTGGTATATATTTACTCTTTAATTCATTAATTAAACTGAATAAGATATCATTTGTTTATAATAATGATGATAATAACAACAATAAATAACTAGATATTAAAGATAAATTGCCAACAATTCAACAAAAAATCAAACAACCTCATATACTTAAAGTTACAATAATAGGAACAGCCAATTCAGGAAAATCTGCTTTGATAATTGGTGATAATGTAAATATTATCATAGTGATAATTGATGTTTGATGATATATTATATAAATTATATTTAGATTTTTTTAGATACTCCCAGGTGTAATATTGACAACAAGATCAACATAAACATCACCATTAACCAAATATAAACAAAGATATAATTGTGAATTGATTAATTCTTCATGGAATACAATAGATGAAGTTGATTGTGGTAATTATATATAGTATGGTGATATGATTATATTATAATTTTATAATGATATTAGTGATTCATACATTAAAAATAACTGAATACAGTATTATAGTGAACAATTTATTATTGAGAAATTAAAAACTATGAAAAAACCAATTATTTTAATATTTAGCAAGGTAAAATAATATTTAGGAATGTTATATATTATATATTTACTTGTATATTTAAATATTTTTCTTATAGATTGATTGAAAAAAATTCAGAAATAAGAATTTAGAACTCTTAACCAAATACCCATTTCTACAAAACTGTCCAACTATTTCAATATCTGCTTTATGTAATATTAAGTTAAATATGTTAAAAGTAAGTAATCAATATTTCTTTTTATATTTGGGGCATACTGCAACAAAACCAGACAAAGTGAACATTGGTATTTCCAGTATTTCAGGGATCAAAATTTAGTCATTTGAAATGTGATTATAATTACCAGTTTTATAATATCCTATTTGTTATCCTCTTAATATCAGGTGATATATAGAATCACCTCTATATAAAATAGTTAATATGAACTCATTTACATTAGGTCTACTATGGAACCCAAGAATTACAGCATTATTAGAAGTATTTTAAGGAAAGAGCAAGGAGAAAAAATTGCACCTTATGAATAATACCAAGTTCTTTGGGAATGTCTAGATAAAGAAAAAATCACTTATGAAATTTATCAAGAAGTCAGATAACTAAATTTGCTTCTTATTCTCCAGCTTATTGAGCTGTCAAATCAAGTCTGTATTTAAGAGGAGGCTAACCAATATTTCTAACAATTTTTGAAAAAAAAATTTTTTTTTGTACCTAATACTAATGGATGTAAAGATAACTTTATTAAAGAAATTAGCCATTTGCATAGTTCCACCAGTGGTTAGATGCAATTACTTTATGAACATTTCCATTTTTATGTCATTAAGCAGCAAATGCATAAACTAGATGTCTTAGTAAAAATGTTGTGCTTCAGTAGGGAGAGATTCAGTATGGTATAACTCTTGCAGAACATATGGTATGGTATGGTATAGCCCATATTTTTCCATA